CATGCATCCCAAACCCCATCCGTATACATGTGAGGTTGATTTCTCAACCTTGATCACGCATATCTGTTCACATTGAAGTTATAACTGACAGCACTGAACTTTCTCTGTCACATCAGTAGCTATAAGGTTTAAAAGTCAAAATTACACAAATGTGTTTTCTATAGCAGTGATTTAGCATGTTGGTTAGAGATATGTAGTTTAAAACCCTCTAAAATCAGAAAAACTTTTGTCGTGAATTGTCCGCCAAACCAAAAATGTAATATAATTATTTAAAAAACATAATAATAATGCATAAAAATAGCATTCATTATTACTATTATTATTATGATTATTTAGTATATACATTTTCTACAATTGGCATATATATATATATATATATATATATATATATATATATATACACACACACACACACACACACATATATATATATTATAATTCTATAAATCTATTATTATTATAATATAATTAGTGCTGCTAAATCAAAAATCATGATTAAGCGCATCTAACATAAATGTTTGTGTGTGAGTGTGTGTTTGTTTATACGGGTGTGTGTATAAAATATATGATGATGATGATGATGATTATTAAGTAGTAGTTGTATAGATATACATTTTCCATAAGTACACAAATTATATTTTATACAACATTCATAATGTTTGTAGGGTGAGGTTCGGCGAACTTATGCTGAAGTATGGAAGAAAAGCATAACTATTCCAACAGTAAATGAATGAAAAAGAAGACTTTAACTGGTTTTTGATTGATTTGATAAACATTTTCAAAATCTCAGCATAGTTGAAACCAACTCGTCTGTTACAAAAAAAATTCAGTGCGTAAGTCCAATTTTGGTCGGATGTCCATTTAGAATTACTATGTTTTGCTGGTTTGGTACTTTTAAAGGGGTGATGAACTGAGAAATCAAATTTTCCTTGAGCTTTTGACATCTAAGAGGTCAAGAATATTATAAGAATATCCTGTAAGTTTCAGAACTGAAAACGTCCTTGTTCGTCCAATAAAAGCTTTTATTGAAAACCGGATAGTGTGAAATTCATTATAATATGCAACACTGTTAACTACTCGCAGCAGTGAGTGTTTACTTCCAAATCTTCAATGTGAGACGCCCATAAAAACCGAGCGTTTTTGAGAAAATAGACTATTACTTATTAATTTTGATGTTTTTTAATGAAAAAACCAAGTGAATGTCGTAAGTTGACCTCAGAAAACAATATAAAAAAATGTAAAAAGCAAGTTCATGACCTCTTTAAACATTATAAATTCCCCCATTACAAGTGACAACACATCCCCGCTATTGGGGCATGTTGTCACAAAAAGTCACCATTTGTTTCCTATACAGATATCTTTAATAAAATAACCCCAATAAATATTCAATGCAGTAAAAAATGTTAAAACTAGTCGCACTCTACCACAGACTAGACAGTGACAATGAAAGAGCCCTGTTCTTATTCTAGCTGAAGTGGATTATGACTGCAAACTGTGGGGCAGTGGAGCAACTTGGGCCAAAAAGTGTCACAATCCAGAACCACCCTGGGCTCATTGTTCTGACTCCTTTTGTGGCTGGACGCCACTGTACTAAGGAATCTGGAAAAGAAAGACTCCCTAACAGTCGGTCATGCACCAGTGCTTTTGGCAACAACAAGTCCATGGCCTATATTGCCTTCATTTTGCTCTGGCGGCTGTGTCCCCACAACAGAAATCCCTATTACTGGTTATAGAACGGGCTTTATTAGAGAGTGGAGCTTTGAAGGGCAGAACAAAAGAGTGTCCTATGTTTAGATTAGATAATGTAAGCAACCGCTTTTCTGCATGGATGACACTACACAATAAGCCACCTCATGAATACTAGTCAGTCCAGATCCTAGGGCTCTTTTTGTTTCATCATTACAGCAAGAAAAATGAAATCAGAAAACCTAATCAAATGCGGTCTGGTCTGTCACTAAATCACGCTTATCATTAACAATGGGAATAATGGCTGTGCGTGTTCTGATTGCCTGAATGTTGGCGGTGATAAAATCTTGACGAGTGAGATTGCGCTGCTAAGTAACTGGCTGTGTACAGTAGGATACTGTATATCCAAGGAAACTCTGCAAACAAACAATGCATTAACATATCTATTCTGTGCACAACATGTTCTCCCCAATGAATCTTCATAACGAACACGTCTTATTGACAGCACACTCTGTGATGCTTTCAGACCTGTCAGCCATTTTCCCAATAGTAGTTTGAATTGAATTAATTTTTTTATTCCAACGCAATCAATGAATTGACATGGAATATGGTCAACTGGCTAGGAAACCTGTGGGAAAATACCAAGCTGGTTTAATAAATAACTTCTCTGAAACTCATTTGACATGAATTTAGGTCACACGGACCATGTCGCAATGTCACTGTATCAGACCTAAAATATCAGTGGCAACTGCAAACAAAATGCTACTAATTTTTTATGACTTTCCTCCAAACGGCGTTACAGTTGTCAAGAAATCAAAACGGACACTATTTAATTAGCGCAAATTATTAATCTTGTGGTGAAACTAATCTTTATTCAAAATCTGCAGACTGATCTCATGAGATGGTGTGTGTGTATGACACGCCAATTAATATTTCCATTTTTGGCATGCTATCAACACGCATAATCACTTTTCAGCGTGTTTATGAACGCCGTTGACTTAACGTTACATTACTTTATATATAAATATATGACCTACCCCAACCCCGTCCTTAAACCTACCCGTCACTGGGATAGATTCTTAGAAGCTATTCTTATTCTTATATTTAGTCTTCCCCTCCGTGTTGGGCAAGTTACTTTTAAAAAGTAATTAGTTACTTCTTCCAAAAAGTAACTAAATTGGTTACTCAGTAACACATTTTAAAAGTAACTAGTTACTTAAGAAAGTAACTATTGCGTTACTTTTCCCCTACCATCCTAGGAAAAAAAATATCACTCCCCAGATGTAGATCTACATTTTGCTTCGTTTCGCTCGGACATTTAATGGCATAGACATACACGCCAATAGCTCAAAATGCATACAGATAACGTATAGTATGTTTATGCAAAAGTCATGATGTCATGTTGAAATCTGACACTTTGCTTCTGCTCTGGAATTGCGTTCCTTCTCTTATGATGTCAGTTTGATGGCTTGTGTCGATTATCCTAAACCATTCCCCTTCAAAATTCTGTTTAACTTGGAATTACGTAACAACACTAAAGTAAAGTGGGTTGCAACTTCTAGTTCACAGAGACTTTAAGGGGATTAGTGTAAACTTTTTAGTGGTCTGTGTCAGTCAGAAAGTCACAAAGTCCAGTGGACGGCAAATGCTGGATGTCTTCCTGTGCTCCTGGACAAAGGAGTATACTTTGAAAGGGTGTGCATGAAACTGAGTGGAATATTAAAGGGATAGTTGACTTTGAAATTAATTTTTGATATGTTTTAGCTTACCTCAAGGGCATCCAAGATGTTGGTGTCTTTGTTTCCACAGTATTTTCAATTTTGACATTTTTCAGTCAAACCGTTGTTGTCTATCAGTCATACACTGGAGGCTAAAGGGTCCACCAAAAAGCTTGCACAGAGAAGTTAAAATTAAACATGATTTAATGACTCGTAAATGTAAGTAGACATTGATGGCCTAAGACACGAAACGAGCGGTTTGTGTGAGAAAACGAACAGTATTTATATCGTTTTTACCTCTTGTAATCATAGCCATCACAAAATGATCTGACGGCACGGGCGCTTCGGTCTGCGCATGTGCTGGAAGTGATCGCTTGCGCGCCTACGTCACTCTTTGTTTATACAGAGATTTCGGAAGGTTTACCTTTCACTAAACATATTTAGATATACGGGAAACCGCAATGGAAGACGATTTCATTTCCGTATATCTAAATATGTTTAGTAAAAAGTAAAACTTCCGAAATCTCCGTGTAGATATTGAGTGATGTCACACGCAAGCGATCACTTCCGGCGTAACATTGAACTGATTCAGTTCGGTTCAGTTGGACATTGCACAACTGATTCAGATCACTTAGACGTCACTATGATTACACGAGGTAAAAACGATATAAATACTGTTCGTTTTCTCACACAAACCGCTCGTTTCGTGTCTTAGTCCATCAATGCGTACTTACATTTACAAGTCATTAAATCATGTTTAATTTTGACTTCTCTGTGCATGCTCTTTGGTGGACCCCCTTAGCCTCCAGTGTATGACTGATAGACAACAACGGTTAGACTGAAAAATGTCAAAATTAAAAATACTGTGGAAACAAAGACACCTACATCTTGGATGCCCTTGAGGTAAGCTAAAACATATAAAAAAATCAATTTCAAAGTGAACTATCCCTTTAAGTATAGGAGGGTTGGGCTTAAGCTTTGTAAGAAAGTTCCAATATAGTTTAAAGTGGAGCAAATTGTAACACTACAAATGCGCAAGTTTTTTTTTTTTTCCATTTTTCTATTTATTTTGTACTTTTATAACACAAGATGCTTTTCAGTGTTGTAACTGATTGTGACCAAAATACCTTTTGTTTTTTATCAGCCCTGCAAAAAATATGACCTATGCAAGAATGCATTCTGTTGCACTAAAGGAGGCTGTACTGTACAAAACTACCTCAGTGGAGAGACTAAATGCTATTTGGAGCAAACTGTAATTTGCACTACTGTCTATACAAATTAAATGAAAAGAAACCCAGCTTTGAGCATCTGTTGCTTCTTCTAGTAACACTTTAGTGTATGGTCCAATTCTCACGATTAACTAGTTGCTTATTTGCATTGCTGTTTATTAGTATGTATAAAGCACATATTAATGGCTTGACCATATTCTACATCCCTAAATCCTAAACTCAACAACTACCTTGCTAACTATTAATAAGCAGTAATTAGGGGATTGAGATAAAGTCATAGTAATAGAGAGAATTGGGCCTTAATCTAAAGTGTGAACATTTTTAAAACAAACAATTAAATGTCAGGCAGACATTGCAGTTATATTACCTGGTCATGGCTAGCTGGAATGGAGCTCCCAATGCCGTGGAAAGTCATCTGCACAGGTGAGAGGGTCAGGTAGGTCATGAACTCTTTGTCAGTTTGCCGATCTGAGTATTGCACCTGCATGACACAAGAGAAGGCAAAGGGATTATTAAATATTACATGATGCAATTTACACATGTAATGCACTGCGGTTCTGACCTTGGAAAACTTATTGTGGGAAAAGTATGAACTGGATCCTCGGTCTTGGCTTTTGGTTTGTGCTCAGTTTTACTCAATAACCGCAGTGGTTTTAGATTTTAATCTTCATCCTTGTGAATGGTTCACAATCTAGCTTTCTCAAGTGCGCTGATGGCAAGCGATATAGTGATTTAGAGCCGAGCTCTGGCCCCGTTTGGGGTTTCTGAGAACACCTCTGCATGTCAAACTCCACTCAGCAACACCCAAAGGATTTGTGTGTGTGTGTGTGTGTGTGTGTGTGTGTGCGTGTGTGTGTGTGTGTGTAAGGATTTTTTGGACACTATACTGGGCCACTTTGATCATGTTGTGCCTGACCTATATACATATCCAGTCCATTCTAAAGACTTTTTACATGCAAAACACAGTGAACTAAAAAAGAAATAGCTTTTTCAAGGTATTACTTGGATTTGGTAGATGTCTCAATGCCTAAATTTTGTTTTTGGGTGAACTTTTGCTTAAAATGCAATCTTATATGGTCTTATTGTACAGGTTTTTGAAAAGTTTCAGTCGCTCTATGGGAAAACTGCATATGGCAGTCTGGATGACTGGATATAATATGGGATTGACTGCTTCTGGAGAGCTCCTTAGCACAAGAAACATCTTGGACTAATGCTCATACATTTAAAGATAAGAAAAAAAATACCAGAAAGATGCTCCTCTGTCCTATCCTGCCCTGTTTAGAGTGATCTACTTTTCGATTATACACATACAAATCTCCTCTGATGCATAGTTACAGACAAAAACAAACACAGTTGACAGTTGCAAAGCCCAAATGATGATCAGGCTAGTTGGTTTTTAACAGAGAGCAGAGATACAAGTAGGGGAGAGTAGCTGTCATGTAGCCATATATTTAAACAGCAACCACTACATACAACTGAATACAAGGTCAATGCATAAAACTGAGAATCCTCAGGAGAAGAAAAACAGATCAATGACTGCAATTGCAGACTGAAGGAATCTCTCACTCCATGAACATGTGTTTATGTTTAGTCCTCGAGTGGTTTGATGGGCCAGATCCACGAGGCATTCCGCTGTGAAGTGTGTTTTAAAGACAATGTTAACAACACGGTTTGCAAAAAGCACAATGTGTGATTGGCGTTCACAGCTCCAGGAAACAGGAACTCCCGACATATACAAACATCTCGTGTCTGCTGAAGAGAAGAAACGATTGGCCACAGTGAGTTGGTTAATATTTCTGTCGTGTTCTACATGAACAGATCGTTCTCGTCATCTTATTAAGGCTGTCGTTTTAAAACAGCAATTTATTATTAAGATTCTCAGAAAATAATGTTAAATGCACAATATTGCAATTTAGTTGATTAATTAATGATCACATAATTAGTATCTGATTTGATTCAATTGTTTAACCAATAAACAACACTATTTTATAAATATAAAAATATAATACTAATTATTACCATATCAATATAACGCAATAAACAGTGGGGACAAAAAGTATTTAGTCAGTTCTCCTACTTAGAATAATGCGAGAGATTGTAATTTTCATCATAGGTCCACAGTTGATTCAGGCAAGCTAATATAGATATTTCTTTATACAATTTCTATCACCATTATGGAGCACAAAACAACACCTGGACCAAATGAAATCCATTTCAACTTAATCTAATATGTTTAAGCTATAGAGCAAACATACACTGACCGCGTATCCGTTCGTGGTGCTGGGTTTGATTTAAAACTTTTCCAAATGCACTTAATTTTGGTGGAGTATCGTCACTTTGAGCAAATAACTGCGGGCCACCATCAAGCTCAAGACACCAAAGATCAGTGCCAGCTTCCTGTCAGCCCCAAGATTCATCTCCCTGACAAACTTTGTTTTCAAAGATCGCTCCTCGCTCAAATACGCCACAGTCATACAGCTGGGCCCCATCAGAACGAAGCAAAAATAAGACCATAAGGGATTAGCACGTCTAGCATGTGTTTGCTAATGAAAATCCCAGCATAAGCACCAGCTCCAGGAACAGGGAAAGGGCAAGAGGGACAGAAACAAACCGTCCCGCACTTTGATGCATGGACAGGAGATGCGTTTGATGTCGACTGTGTATAAGACGGAGATGTGCAGTGGAATAGGAGCCAAGCCAAGCGTAGGACGCTGCCAGTGCTATTTGAAGTGCTTTTCACACACACACAACAGAGCAGTGTATGGGGGGTAAGAAAAACAAAAAAGAAGAAACCGCGTCACAAGGCAGATCTTTCGGCGCAGATGTCCAAAACATACATCATCCCATAGTTTTTATTTTCATTAAAGTGGGATTTGCTACATAGCGAGGAAGAGAAAATTAAAACAAAATGGAGCAACAGCTTGCCTTTGACTTAAGCGCATGGACCAGTGATCTTTATCAGGATGATATTGCTGGTGGATTTAACACATGAGTACGTCTGATAACATCATTGCAGTTAGACATGCTCTAAACCAGCAGTTGAAGTCATAACAAGACTCTGTTTATGATACGTCTAGCTTGGAAACTGGGGTGAACATTTCTTTATGGAAAAGGAGGGAAAAGTCAAAAAAGAATTTACTAACAATGAACAATATTTTTACAGCATTTGTTAATTTGGGATAATGTTAATTAATGTATATAAAATAACCATTAATAAAGACAACAAAGTAACATTAGATATGAACAAATTAAAGAACTGAAAAATGTTCCAATGACTAAAGTTATCTCATTTAATTTGTCTGAAAATAACTACCAAAAAAATGTATATATGTGTTGAAGTAAAAGACTGATAGTATTTTCTTGTGAAAAGTAGTCCAATAATCTTTGTTTCACTTTATTATAATAATTTTTTTACAGTGCATATCATCTGAAGTGGGTTAGATAAAGCTTAACTTTTCCTAACCAAATATGGCTCCTTTTCCCACTAAAGCAAACACTACACATCAACAAATTTGATACATGGCGGAATTTACAGTTATAACATAAATATATCTTTAATCGCCTCATAATTAATCCAAAAAACAATTATTCACCTATTATTGGATCAAAAAGGAGGCATACCAGTGCCAAAAACATCTTGTGAATCATATACTTTGCCATAAATGGAGCGAGTCACCTTCAAAAGCCCACATCAATCCACTTCTATAATTGAAATTATGAAGCTACTGCTGAGTTATACAACTCCAGATGTTCTCAGATCAAATTCAATCACTTTCATATCATCAGTCAGTGCTTTGCCATTAAGGGCAGGACGGTGGGTTACAGGTTATAAAGATTCTGCAGGTGGTCACAACGGAAATTAAAGCCTGATTAAAACTTATGAATGGTCGGTCATTACATTGACTTGAAGGCCGGTTTTCATGTTTGGGCTAAGCTTTGTAATTAATGAAAAAGTATTAGGGATTCACTGATAATACAATTGTCTGATAACTTCATGTTATGGCAGATGCCGATAAAAAAAACTGTACTATTTTGTTTAAATAAATTAAAAATAGAAATGTACAAATGTGGAAATTAGCCTGCACAAATAAATATTCAATATCTGACAATATATATTGAATTGGCTGGTATAAATGATATATCTTTTTTTTATTTATCATTATTATATTAATATTCAGCTCAAGTCACTAGAGCTTTATCATAATCCCCATGCAGACTTTCAGTTGGAAGCAATGTCCCGCACCGATAAAAAAGATCAAACGGATGCATCACAGACGCTTCCATCAGCTGAATATGAAGTGATTTTTGAAGTGATTAATGGCATGACTACACGGCAGTTGGCATATAGATGCTGAACGCTGACGCCCGCGATCAAAGCCGCCAGCACCTCACAGAGATGCATGTGTGCCCAAAGCTGGCAGGATGAGAAATATATGCACGGGTTCTTCTATCAGCTCGTCTCCATTTATCTCAAAACGAAGCCGAGATTCACTAGAAGGTCAGAAAACATCAATGGGCGCTATTTGAAAAAATAACTGAAGATCCTTTGCTCTGAATCTAGGTATGCTGGTATTTCTAGCCAAGGTTAGAAACTTTGTGAGAAACAGACAAACAGAAAGAGAAACAGACGGGTAGTGAGCAGAGGGACTCTTGAGGGTGGGAGGGAACCGAAAGCGCGAGATTAAAAAAGGGTGAGGGAAAGCTGAAATGACTGAGCAGGAGGGAAAAAAAGAGCGATAAGGTAACTTTAAGGAAACTTTAATTTTTGTTTCAAAGAAAGTACAAAAAAGTTTTCTTTTTGCTTGAATCGAACAAATGATCTGTGTAAAGAGATGCTTATCTTCTAGAGAAGTTTTATCAACTACGTTAGACGATAAGAGATATTTTCTATTCATTATACACATCTGCAAACTTTCGTTTAAAAAAATGGAGAATTAAAACGAAAACAAACTCCATCCACACCAGCGTTTTATCTGCGTATTAGAATTGATCTCCGTCCACATTAAAACGACTGAAAACACGGATCACGTGACCATTCACCAACACTGGGCATGCGCATGCTGGTGTTAACAGTGGTTGGCGAATCAGGGAAGGACATTTTATGACTGATAAAACCCAATCATTGAGCGAACGTGAGTCTCTCTGCGTCAGCGTTTCTAAAGTCCTCCGTTTTGTCCCGTCTTCACTAAAACGCCCTCCGGAGATTCAAAACGCAAAACGGAGCTGCAGCGTTTCTAAACTTCTCCGTTTTAGGTCTTCGATTTTCCCGTTTTAGTCTGGACGGGAGGTGCAAACGTAGCAAAAGGTCTCCGTTTTTAAATGAAAACGCAGTAGTGTGGATGGGGCCTCAGTGAGAATGCTCGCGCAAAGGGGAACATGACCGCTCTATCGCGGGCTGTTGTTTTGTAGCGTTTTACAGAGTGTTTTCTTTAACCTGTTAACAACCGCTCTTTCGACATGTATGTGAAGAGCGTACTTAAC